CTTTCCCTAAGCTGTTCCTTCTAGTCTCCTGTCTGTTTTAAGCCTGCTCCCTGTCTAGTAGCATATGTACCAGTATTCCCATTCCTGGACACTTCAAGCAATGCTGATGCTGTCCCCTATAATATGACAGTCCTACTATTTATTTATTTTTTTACATTAATGCATTGTTTTTTTGCCTTCACAAACCTTAAGTCTCATTTCTAGAGAAACAAAATACCTCAGTATTTTTTGGTACTGTAATCCTGTATGTATGTCAACTCTTCTCCCCCCCACACTCCCCAAGCACTGACGTGAAAGCACCAGGCGAGTGCTTTTTTGAGTTGCCAAGGGTTGTATGTTTGATTATTTATGATGTGAAATAATATATTTCTTCTTATGGAGACCTAGTTTTGTTACATGATTATAGCTTTTTATACAAACAGAATAAATTATAATATTTCTATTGAGAGAACTGGGTATATGTTTCAAAATCTTGCATTTTACTGTCTCAAAACATTTAGGCATTCCCAGATGACCTGTAAGAAGGCTGAGTTTCTGACTCTGCTGCTGAGCTGACTTCAGGCACTGCAATTAACCATTGCCTTGACTGAACTAGATGAAAAAATGGGTTTGAAGACAATATATTTGACGAGAAAGTGGCTTTTGTTTCTGAGCTGAGCTTGCCTTTGATCTAGGAGAAGGCTGAGAATTGGCTTGCTCTATCCCCATGTTGTTACACGTCGTGGTGAGGAGTCAAGGGCAGATTCTCAGCTGTAGAGGTGGATCTGGCTCCAGTGACAGCCATGCAGTTGGAGCCGTTCACACCAGCTGGGCATGGGGCTACTATGAGTTTAAAATAATTCTCTTCTAGGAAGAGATTCCTCACTGCTTGTTTACCTTTTACACAGAAAAGGTTAAGTCTAAAAACTAACCTTTTAGTAACAGTCCTCCAGTGTTTGAAAATTCATGCCCATGTTGTTTAGTTTATTTTTTCCCCTTTTTTCTTTTTTTTTTTTTTTTAAAACACTGTCTCTAGTCTGAGATAAAATACCTGGCTTATGTTACCCCTGTAAGCAAGTCAGGGCACAAGAATTGATCAAGCAGCCCCTAGTCACTTACTACCCAGGAACAACCTCCCTGCTGGGGCTTTGCACCACTGTGCCTTTTCTCTGGTATTTAGGTGGAGGTCGTGAGAGCAGCACCTCACACAGCACACAGAGGAGAGCTCTGTCCCTTGCTCTGGCTGAGGTACCTGGGGTTCCTGCAGGGACAGCAGGTGCTACAATGTGTTCCCCTCACCTGGTGATGCTAATGCAGAAATGTAGCCAGAAGGCAGCTTGTTCTCTGAGCCAAGTGATATCACGAGTGGCTGGGGGGTGCGCTAGGACGTCAGCTCTTCTGGCTCTGGACCTTGACTCTAGGATGCAGGTTCCTGCATCTCTGAAATTCAAGGAGATGAATCCTGCTCTTGGCTCATCAGGAAATGTTTTGCTTAGTCAGATAGCAGCAGGTTACAATGCTTTATGTAAAATTTCAGAGCTTTTTGTAGTTAAAAGTCTGAAGCCTCAGCTAATATGAAGCTTTTATGAAGCATAAAACAGCTGCAGTCCTGTCCCATCACTGGAGACGAGCTCAGCACTAAATAAACTCCTGCTGCAGTCCTGTGTTAACTGTACGAAAATTGGGACTCTTCTCCCGGGAGAAGGTGCCCTTGAAGGATGGGATGATGTGCTGCTGTGTCTGAAATTCTTCCACGTGGGCTCCCTGCGAGACGCAGCTCTGTCGTCAGCGCCGTGCGTTAGCAGTCAGCAAGCTCCGTCCTGGCACCAAGGGAAAGAAACAGGCGGAGCAGCAAAAAGGGAAGGAAACAGAGATCCCTGGTCATGAAGAACTGAGGGTAGAAACCCGCTCTTTAGTGCATATTAACGTGTGTGAACCACTAACTGACTTCGCCTCTCCTGAACCTGCCCTGTCCTGAGGATCCTGCAAAACCCCCTTCCCTGCACCACTCTATGGGATTGCAGTCGTGCTCCAGGCTGCTTCCGAGTGTGGGTGCCTGCCTGCACCTGCAGGACTCGATGGAACAAACTTTCCCCTTCACAGTGAAGCGGAGCTTGCTCAGTGGAAAAATACAACCTTGGCAGCCCCAGCCCTGCAACTGATAAAAAAAACCTGCCTGGTAATCGCAGTTCAAACAGAATTCCGCTCCCCGGCAGCCGGCAGAGCTTGTTTATGTGTTTCTTGGAACAATAAAACTCATTACCTGGCAGCTGAGCGGTTTTTATAACTGAGCGAGGCACCTGACAGAGGGCCACAAAAAGAGAGCGGCTGCAGCACAAACTCATTTCTGCAAGAGCAGTGGCCGCGGAAGGGCACAAGTCTCCCCAGGCACCCAAAGCTGATCCCAGTCCCGGGGACTCACAGCATCTTTCCTAGAGCCTTTACAGGGATCTTTCACTTTCCAACCGTAATGAGAGTCACACGTGTGCACAGCTGGGTTATCCATGGACAGCATCGGCCACAGATCCCGAAGCGCACCCAGGCCAAGCGAGTGAAGGAGAAGGGAAAAGCCCAGCACCCATGAGCAGGGGAGACTGAAGCAAACGTGGTTTCAGTGCTGCAGTTCAGGGGAGGCTGACTGGACTCGGCTGGCGGGGTGACTAAGAGCCGCGAGAGATGGGGAAAGGAGAGCAGCAGGGCCCGGCAAGGTGGGAGGAAGGCAAGGTGGGAGGAAGAGGAGGATGTGGGGCACTGCGGGGGCAGGCTGCGGCCGTCGGCATGAGGGGCTGAGACGGAGACGATGGCGGTGGCGGTGTCTATACTTAGCCTGTCTGGAGGAAATCTTCATTCCTCATGCCAGCTGAGCTCTGCTGCCTGTGAAGGTGCTGGGGAGGCTTTTCCCCCTCATTCCCTGTTTTCAGTCTGTTTGGGGTATCGGGGCACACAGTTTACTGTAGTTCATATCTTCGAGCTCCATTGGGGCTCGACTTTTATCCATAACATGATGTCCTGGCCGTGCTGGCAGCTCTCAGCTCAGACCCTTCCCTTTGCATCCCACCCGCGACCCCCAGAAAACTCTGCGTCACTGCACGGGGGAACTTTAAGGTTATATAAACCTGTAATTAAACAGTTGCCTACATCCCCATGGAAACCACGAGGAGTTTCCCTGGGGTGAGGAAGGCAGCAACATCACTTCCTGCCACTGACAACCCCGTTTGTCACAAAGTGATAAAAAGGCTGCTTGCGTGTTTGCAGGAACTGCCTCTGGGCTTTGTTCCTGCCGGGCCACCAGCCCCCCCTGCCCTGAAGGGGAACAATGGCCATTGTGCTGCTCCTGCTCGTGCTCCCGCTCCCTCGGCACCTCCACAAACCATTCCCATGCCGGTCAAATCCCACCCGAGCGCACAGGGCAGCAGGATGCTCCTTGTGGGCTAAAACACCACACACAGCTCCCCGGGAATCTATAGAGGCAGCATACGGCTGTGACAAGGACACAACAGAATACAATACAACACACCCCATAGGACAGACCAGCCCCAGCTATCATTTGAGGAGCGGCCGCTGAGCTCCAGGTTAGCTACATGTGGGGTAATCCCCTTGTCTCGAAGCCTTTCTTTTGTCATCAGAGGCGCTGGGTGCGCTGGATTTTGGGGACTATCCTGCATGAGTCACCTTCCGTGTCGGATTCGCAGGGCCAAGGGGCTGCGTTGTGCCTTTAGCTAAGCACTAGAGGAGAACTTGGCCTCCCGAGTGCACATAGGCAAATCTGGTTTGCCTGGCTGGTACCTGCTTTTCTTTTTTCTTTTTTTTTTTCCTCTCTCCCCCGTCTGACTCCAGGGCAACAGAAAGGGCACTGGGAGTCATTTAGAAAGTGTATTTAGATGCAGTCCCCCCAGAACCTTCCCAGCACGGCAGACTCTTACAGTGCTGGGGAGGAGAAAGGGCCCCGGGCCTGGACAGCCGAGTGTGTTCACGAGTGATGCCTCCTAGACTGCTCCAAGCCTTGCTTCTTGCCCTTTCTCTTGTCCAGCAGTGATGCTTGGGTTAGACAGGCCATGTGGTCACTGAGACTCCCCCAGGGTCTTGGCTTCCCTCAATCTCCAAGGTTTGGAGTAGCCAAGAAATGCTTCCAAGGTGCCGGATTGGGCATTGGACCAGGGAGCACAGAGGAGGAAGGGAAGGGAAAGCAGCTATTTTACTATTTTGCTGCTTTTTTTTTTTTTTAGAGTTATTTCCCGCTCTGGAAGTGCTATGTACAAACCCATGCCCACTCTCGGGGTGATTTTGTCCTGCCGGTTCCCACCGCCGGGATTTTCCAGTGGGGCGGAAAAAAAAACGCCCGCCTGTGCGTCCCCCGCCGCGGCGCCCGCGGCACATGCGGGAGGCTGAGGTCGGGCTGAGGTCCCTGGGGCGCCCGGCTGAGCTGACGGTCTCTGGGCCAGGGGGTTTCCTCCCTGTCTCCCTCGAGCCGTTGCATTTGCGTGTGTTTCCTGCTCGATGCCGAAATGACTCGTCCCGGGCTTCCCCTCCCAGGCGCTGCTGCGAGGTGCCCAAGGGGGAGAGACGCGGGGCCCGTCACAGCCCCAAGGAGCCCACGGCCCCGCACGGACGCTGCTCCAGGTGGGAAGACGTGTCTGGAGGCTGAGCTGCTCTGTCCTGGTGTGTGGAGCCTGGGAGCTCAAAGGCGGACGGTGGGAATGGCCAAGAGAGGAACCCGCAGCTGTGCCCGTGGATGGAGACGCGGGGATGGAGCACGGCTGATAAGAGCGGGTGTTAGCAGCACCGCTACCTCTCCCACCCTCACCTCATGCAGCCTGGGTGAGTCCAGTCTGTGGGAACAGCAATTTCATCAGCCAACTCATTCCAAAATCCTTATCGCATAGGCTGGGTAGGGGCCAGCGCCAGAGAAAACGC